TCAAAGTTATATGAAGCTAACTGATATCAGCTGTCTTTGAAATAGACATGTGTACTGTTTGTACAACCAGTAAACTTTGAAAAATCTAAGCTGAATTTATTACTGAAGTCGAATTACTACAACTTAAGTTTCATGGCTTTGTTCTCTTTTTTTGAGGACATTGTGCCAGAGTATAATCCCATTATACTTCTTTCATTAAATGTGGTTTATTGGTTCAGGGATTTGATTTTCAACTAATGGGCCATGGATTCGAACCCCACTCCACGTTTCGTCGTTTGAGCAGTTAGCCCGCATATTATAGGTGTGGCTTATTGCCCCTACTGCATGAACATTCGCCAGGTTGCTGAGTGAATCTCGATTTGATTTATTATCATATCATTTTGATTATCTGAGATAGACATGGTTTGGCAGATTAGCATTGATACTGGGTGATGATGATTGAAGGTGAAATGAAAATTTGGACCGTGGCCGGATTGAAACTAGCGACCACTAGGTTTCCGGCTCGATGCTCTATCAGCTGAGCTACGAAGTCTGACTTCTCACCAGATCTCTTTATTTCACTTCAATCACCAAGTGTTCTGCTTGACTACCATGTGAATTCGTGATGCGTTACTCCGCTTGATCGTATTCACACTGGCTGCCCACCAGCCAGGAATTCTCATCCCCATCGAAACCCAAGTGAATTAGAGAAGGGTAGCATCATATTAATTATCACTTGACTATCTGAAATAGCCGTGATTTGGCAGACTAGTATTGATACTGCGGTGGTGATTGAAGGTGAAATGAAAATTTGGACCGAGGCTGGATTCGAACCGAAACCCTGTGATCGCCGGTTCGAAGCCGGCTGCAGTCCAAATTTTTATTCCACCTTCAATTATCATCCAGTATCCTTATCATATGTATCATAGTGGGATAGAGTGATAATTTCCAAAAAGTTACTTGAGCGTCGGTGAAGTAAGAGAAGATGACAACCAAAGTTGTGTCTCTTTTAAATCTACACTCGACATATAAAATAAGGATGACTCTTTACTTGTTCTGGATATGTGGAAAATTTATATAACCAATTAAATCAAACAACGGAATTATAAAAATGTCGATCAGAAAGTTTCGGATTCGAACTAGCGAACATCGGGTTTCCTGTTCCATGCTTTATCAACTGAGCTACGAGGTTCGAGTGCTGACCAGATATTATTTTGCTTCATTAATCACCAAGGCTTTTACCTGACTACTATGTGAATTCGTGATGCGTTAATATCCCTTGGTCGTACTCACATTGGCTGTCTAGTCAGGAATTCTCATACCAATCCAAACCTAAGTGAGTTAGAGGGGGAAGGGGGAGTATCATTTTGATTATTTGAGATAGCTGTAGTTTGGAGGTATTACCTAGTATCAGCGGTATTCTTCCCCCCTCTAATTCATTTAGATTTGGATGTGAAGTCCTGACTAGCCCCAGCCAGTGTAAATACAATCAAGTGGTAGTAACGCATCATGAATTCATATGGTAGTCGGATAAAACCCTTGGTGATTGGTTGAAGTGAAATAAAAATCTGATCAACAATTGAATCTTGTAGCTCAGTTGGTAGAATATCAGGTCAGAAACCCGATACTCGGTGATTGTAATCACGCCACGATCCAAATTTTCACTTCACCTTCAATCACCACTTAGATACCCAACCAACAACAACAAGCTCCGATCACTATCAACGGGAGAAACCTAAAGGAAATAGTCTCCTTCATCTACCTAGGCAGCACTGTTTCAACTATAGGTGGCGGATCAGACGAGGACGTCAAAGGCAGCCAGGATCGGAAAGACAGCAAGAGAGTGTTGATTAACCTGAAACCAATGTGGAGATCTTCTGCACTCAGCATGCGGACCAACATCCGGATTTTCAACACCAACGTCAAATCAGTGCTTCTGTGTGGTAGTTAAGAAACTTGGCATGACACGAAAAGCACGTCCAACGAACTACAGACATTCATCAACAACTGCTGCCCACGCTGGCTCAACACTGAAGATCAGATGACCAGAAATAATAAGCAACAAGGAACTCTGGTTGGCTGGAACAAACCAACCAAAAACCTATCACTCAATAAATATACAGAAGGAAGTGGAGATGGATTGGGCATACACTGAGAAGGCTGACTGGGGGCATCATGTGTCAGGCCAGGCACTCGAGTGGGACCCAGATGGGAAACGACGAGTTGGGTGTCGTCCCGGCTGCTGAGGGTGACATGGAGGAGATCGTGCAAGGAGGAAATGAGAGCTTGTGGACTGTCGTGGAGTCAGGTTGAAAAGATTTTGGAGAATAGGGAGCATTTGAGATGTGCTACTGAAGCCCTATGTTCCAATAGGAACCCAAAGGACTAATAATAATAAAATCCAATCATCACTCAGTATAAAGACTAGTTTGCCAAATCACGGATATCTCAGTGATAGTCAAAATGATGATCAGTTGTCTAATTACTTTAATATATCAGCAATAAATTCTGCTTGACATATCCTACAGTAAATAAATAGTCTTTATCTGTTTAACATTGTGTATGTATGTCGGGATTCCTTTCTCTTCGGTCTCCATGCTTAGAGATACTATACCAGTATCCTATCTTTTTCTTATGTCTAAGTGATAGTAGTATATTCTCTCTTCGTAAAATTCAGTTTTATTGTTTAATTTTAAGTCATTGAAGGTACCCAATTTATGTCTGAATTACAGATAATTGATTATCAGCTTATTTGAAGCGTCATCGATGTAAGCTGGAATCACCAACTGAGCGATCCTCATGTTGAGCTTCAAATATTAAGGGGGATTAATCAGCTCATGAGATTGTTAGCCTTCTTCGAATGAGAAGGTCAAGTTGTATATCATATGCTCGCACCCATCACACATGTCAGTGTACTGCACAATGCAAAGTAGAAGCAGGATCAGAGACACTCTAACATGGCCAAATCGGTCTTCTTGATTAGTGTTTGTTAGGCAATTTGAGACTAGATGATGTATGATTCAAAATTGTTGATATCGGATGCTTTATCTATTTTATATCACTCTGTCCCGAATCTCTCCCCTGGCTTACCTTTTTCTTCTTTCTCTGTTTCCTTCTTACCACTATCTTTGCTATAATTTCTGCTTATTCCTTTTTTCGACGATCGTTTTTCTTTATCTTATACTGATGTAGAACTTGACATTCTAAACTGAAACAGAAATTTCATTTCTTTCCGCCTTCCCTTTAGGAATTTAGAGAGAAATCTATACGAAATGAGGATGTGTGGGAAAATTGGTTTTCTTTCAATTATAGTACAAATGTAATTCTCTTCAGCTCTCTAGATTTAATAAAACACACTGAAATTGTTTTACGGATGGAATGGGAATCTGCGTACATGAAATATCAATAAAAAAAATTTTCAGTAGTAAACAGAATAGAAATTAGTGTTATAGCTTGTATTATCCCGTCGTTGACTGGACTGAATTGACCGGTCTCTATTGATATATGGGCTCCTGTGTGGATGCCTCAATATCGCCTGTATTTTAATTATATATAGTAATGATGGATAGTGGTTACCAGTGAAATCCAGGATGCACATTTTGTCCTCTCTAGGACTCATCAGCAATAACACTAACACTATACTCGTCACACAAGAAGTGGCTATCGTAGCTCGGTGGTCGTATGGATAACGCTCTGGAGTATCAAGCGATTGGTCCCGAGTTTGAATCCCAGTGAGAACAATGTCACTGAGCGGGAGGCAAGTGCATCCAGCTGACAAGTGCTAAGTAGGACGAAATGCACATCCTTGATTCCACTGCTAGCCACTGTCCATCATTAATATACAGAATCAAAGTTATTTTGAATCTGAAAGTGAATAAAGGAAAATTGATACTTTATCCTGAATGTATAACATATTATCTTCATAATCCCTACTAGTTATAGCCACTGTATCCTCTTACATGCCGATTATGAATGAAAGAATACAGTCAACAGAGCACACGTTTGTGTATTAGACTATGAATCAGACTTATTGTGTAAATGCCTATGATTCCTTAGGCTAAAACAGGTGAAGCGAAGTTTGAACCAAAGACAGAAAGACAGACAAAATTCACATAACACCTCGTACATGAGCTCTACGGTTCAAGTTACCATATTTCACAGTAATACACAAAGAAACAGGTGGATAGAAAAGGAGTGATATCAAAGTAGACAAATTTCTTCTCAAAATATCTTCTCTACATTCACTTGAAGTCCCGTCTTCGCTGTCCTGTCTCTTCTGTCAACTTGTTAGTTTTCGATTGGAGATCTTTGATTTTGTGCCGCAAGACATTAGACATAAGTCATCATTGGCGAAATCCAAATCTTCTCGTGGGTTCTTTTCATCGGTGCAGCCAGCGTATGCCCATCTTGTTGCTCCTCACGGTTTGCTGGATGATCCAGTCCACCACAATCAGGAAGATTATCTGTGACGATAGTAGCGGCCTTGTCTTACTGCTATCTTCACCTCAAAGGTGTCACTGAGCTTTTCATTGTGGATAACTTGGCATTTGGGGTCTTCACATAGCTGTTGAATGAGGTTGATAAAGACTAGTGGCCCTTCGTAGTGTTGAAGCAACTGCCTGCCAAATTACTTGTCGGTTGACTCTGTTGAAGGCCTTTTCAAAATCGATGTAGTTTTGGTAGAGAGTTGACTGATGTGTAGCGTTGCAATTTGAACACTAGGACGTACGTTTCATTCCACTGAGGAATATATGTGAAATAGCTTTAGTCTAATAGATTGTTATTTAAGTCTGTCTGTCTGGTGGCCAATCGCCTTTAACTTCGAATCCTTCTGCTGAAACCAAGGTAAATCGATTCATTATTTATTTCACTTATCAGATTATATATAAATATTCCTTCTATATATATTTCCTTGTCATTTTCATTAAGTTTGTATAGAAGTATGTTAAGTCATCTACTTTTATCCTTCTTCTTCTCCTTGATATTTTTAGCTGATTGATTGGCAGTTAAACTTACCTGAAATGTCCAATAATTCGAGTGAATTACAATCTCAAGATTCTATGACAACAATAATAAAAGTTAATGAAAATATAAAATATACAAAAACTAGTTTTCTACTTGCATTTGTTATGTATATCAGTAAGATTGCACCGAATTTATTAAATTGGCCATCTGAATTGAATCAATTGGAAATTGTGTCAAGAAGTAAGTGGATTTAATGAGCTCTTATGTAAGCTTCTTGTTATTGTCTAGTGATTCATCAATTTATAACTTGTTTGGTGCTGATTTACAGTGGAAGACAAAATGTACATTTTCCTCCTATGTTGAACTTATCAACTGAATATACCTTTTGATTTGATAAGTAGTGGTCAGACTCGAACTAAATACTTAACGCTTTGAACAATATCATTTACACCTAAAAATTTTTTTCGACTCTCACCATGTTGTTACCTGTTAAGTCAGCAAGAATTCATACAAGTTATGTTGAATTGAAATCAGTTGGTAAGCTATTGAGAACGTGAGACCATTAGATAGTCAGTTCATGCTCATCGGTGGTGGCCTACCTGAACTCTGGGCTACTTTTTTTATTATTTAATATATTGCTTCAAATTTCTCATTTCTATATTGTTTTAATCGTTCAATTATGTCAACCAATCATATTGTATATTCTCGCGCATTTTTAAAATACTTACAACCTATCGCTTCATAAGTTGGATAGGCAAATTAGGAAGAAGCACTACGGTGGATGACAACAGGCTGTCAAGCTTATGACCATAGATTAAATGACTATTTTGGAAATACTTATCACAAACTACAGGTCGTTACCGAATAAAGTTGATTACCTTCAGTCACTCTTATCCACAAGTGTTTAACAGAATACCGGTGTAATAATTCTACACGAAACATGGCTTCATAACCTCTATGATGATGATTTAGTCTGCTTAGATGGTTTCAAATTAGTTCGACAAGATCGAGGCTTTTCCAAGAAGAAATGTAGTGGTAGTGTAGCAACATTTATCAATATAAAGTGATCCTCCACCAACTATATATGCTTCTGCTTCTCTAACAAAAACACTGAGTGAATCATCAATAAACATCGTCCTAAACATTTGGCTAAACAAACAAACATTTATGTAACACCTGACTGCAGTTTCTCACATTTGTCAACTTTTGCTAATGAATTCACTGCATTTTCTGTCCCAGTTCTAGATAACTCCTTGTCTATAGTGTGAGGAGATTTTAACTCATGTGACTGAAGTTTCCTTGTATTATTGGGTCATGAAAATATGGTTAACTTTTCCACTTGTCTTGACAACACCCTCGACTTAGTACTTACAAATGACTCAGGGATGTATAAAGCCCGTAAATGGGCTCCGCTGCTAAATTCTGACCACCGTATTGTAGGTGTTTTGCCTAAAGTGTACGGCATATTACACAAGAAAGCTTTCGGATATCTTTCCAGGAAAGTTCAATGCAGATATTATTTACAAGAGAATATATTACGTTTGAGAAGCATGTTTATAGGAACAGAGTGGGATATATTTGCTGAAGATTTCGACAACACTATTACCAATATCACAAGCTATCTGAGACTCGGTCTCGATATTTGCTGCCCTGTTGAAGTAATCTACATGAGACTTGACAGACTTTCCTCTCCTCATCTCAAGAGGTTCCGGAGAGAAAAGGAAAGGTTGTATAACAAGACAGATCATCCTGGTGTTAAAAGACCTAACTGTCTAATTAAGTCTGAAATGCAACGTATGAATACTATGTACAACCAGAAGTTCCAATCGTGTAAGAACTCTTACAATATATGGAAATTATTCAAAGAGCTTACTGGTAGGAAGCAGATGATAAAGGAAACTTGTTCGAATGTCTGCGCTATAAACAAGTCATCCATACGTCACCAATCTGATTTCACTCTTCCTAATGACCATAGTCGAATGGATAGCTGCTTCCTGGTTTTAGTACAAATGACGCTTTTCAATGTCTTAAACCCTTGAATTCATCCTAAAGCCTAGGTTATGATGTTGTTTCGGGTGTTATTATAATTAGGAAATGTGCACATATTTTATGTCCTCCTCTGAAAGATGTCTTTAGTGAATCGTTTTCTACAAATACAATACCCGATGTTTGCATGGAGATCAAAGTTATACCTCAGCCTAAGTCATCTTCTGGATAAGATGTTAGGTTCTCACCTATTACTATAACTCCCCCTTTTTGGAGATAATGAACCTTCATTGATGGTTTTCAGAGAACTAGAATAGTTTGCTTACCAACACAGGAGAAGAACTTTAGATGCTACCACTGTCTCACATTTAGTATTGTTTCTAGTCTTGACAAAGGTGTTAAGTATGTTCGTTGTGTCTTCTTGGATTACTCATCAACCTTTGACTCTGTTGCTAGACCACTCTTGTTAAATAAGCTTTGCTATGACTCATACTGACTGGGTTACAAAGTGGCTGTATTTTTACTTTTCTGAAAGGAAACAGTATACTGTGTATAAAGGGAGGTGCTCCACTTGGTTCCTTACTGAAGCTGGTGTGTCTCAAGGTGCTGTACTTTCTCCATTTCTGTCTTCATTCTTTTTGCACGATTTACCTTATTCTGTTGAAACTAATTTTATAATTTGGCTGATCACTGACGATGTCTGTTCTAGTCAACTCTCACTTAGATTGCTGTGAATTAAATGGATTCTTGTCTGTAGTTGACCAATGGTCTCAAGTTAAACCCTTCTTAATGTCAGACTGTCAGTTAATTTTAGCCTCAGGTGAGCTGCATAGGTCTCATGACGCCTGTTACCGTACTGATGGTATTTGTGCAGAAAGTAAATCAAATGTTAACTATCTTGGAATTGAGTTTTACTTCTGATGTTTGTTGATCAGTGAAAAAATCTTTCATCTAACGTATTACATGAAAAAACTGAGTCTGTGTGTATAACTCAACTTCTACTTTTACATTTTATTAATTCTGCATCTTACCTGTTCTTCCTGTCTATTGTTCCGCGTTGATCTTTCCTGGTCTGCTAAAATAGACCAATGTTATATTGTGTAGGGCTTTGAAAGCCATCAGTCAGTAGGGTGGATTGGTGTGCCTCTGGTCTAACTGCTTAACACTGTAGTCGACAGACATTTAAATCCTAACAAGCAACTAACTACAGTAATTTTAACTGACACTGAGCATCCACTTGATTCGCAGCTCTCTCTCTCTCTCTCTCCTTGTATCTCCTCGGGGAGGACAAGATGAAACTTCAGAAGACTGTATGTACACCTGTACAGCTAAGTATAAGAATTCGATTGTACCTTACCTGACACACATATTGTGTGAGGAAAAGGTGTTAGAAGGCAACTCACATATCAACTTTGTAATAGTTAACAATCTCATTTCAACTCATTCAACTAACAATGTAAACTGTTCTCGTTTTCTTTACATTACTTAACACAATTCGAAATGTTGTAAAGGAGTATATAGATACACATGTATATTTTGTTGTTGTTGTTGTTGGAATATATATGATGCTGTGAATTCCGAATTGTATCACAAATTGTTTGGAATAAAGTAGATATTATTATTGTGATTAATTATGAGTCGCTTCAAAATGAAATTTTCGAAGTTTTGGTACGTCATAACTGGTTGCCTGACCAAGGCGAACAGAAGGACAGATAGTCAACGTTACGTTCTGGCCACAGAACCTGAACTTCGTGGTTTCGGTTTATACTAGGTCGAGGTTTTTGGATGCACACTGGTCAGTTGTCCCATACTAGGATGACGCATCTGTCAACTCCTCCCAGGTTTCCAATGTTTCTCGAACTGATGTCATTCCCTACTAAATGCCAACCTGAAACCATAAAATGTCATTTTTTCTAAAATGAGTTATATAAAATTGTCAAAAATGTGTACTGCAGCTGTAACTTTCGCTATGAGCCACACTTTCTAATCAGAGGACTACTGATTTTACTTGACCTAATTAACTGGTTGTGTTATGTTTAAACCTATTACCCTCTGATCAAAAACCAATTGCCCAGAGAAATGAGCCATAGATTCGAACAACAAGAGTATGCGTAGTTAGGCAGGTTCTAAAAAATAATAATAAATGAGGTTTGTATTGATAATGTTCTTCAGTGAGTGAGGAAGGTAATATCAGAGTTGTGAAAATCAGGTAATTCTGCATGTTTAACCTCATAGCTTCAGTTTATGCTGCGTAATATCACTTAATCCAAAGAAATGCAACATGATTCTTTGTTTGCTAAGTAAATGTCTTCAAGTTGTTCAGAACATATGACAGAAGGTATATTGTCAGCTGTAAATTGGAGGTTTGCGCGGATTTAGTGATTTTCCAGATTGGTATACATCATGGACCGATATCCCACCCTACTAGAGATCGAACTTCCTTGACCAGCACGTTACCGTTGAGCCATGATGAATACCATCTTGAAGAAATCCATGAACTCAGTCGATCTAGTGCTCATTGGTAACTAGCTTCGAAGTTCCAATGACAAGTCTTGCCCAGTGTGGCAAACCTGGTGGACGTGAGAACAACTACCCATCGATGGACATTGGGTGATTGTCGCACTGTGTCGTGAACTGACAGGAGGTGGGAATATGGACCATTGGATTCCGACTCAGTGGCTCAATGGTAACGTGCTGGTCACAGAACCTGAAAGTCCTGAGTTCGACCCCTGGAATGGCGGGTTTATGTATGTACACTACTGTGGAGTCACATACTAGAATGAAACAGCTGTCTAGTGCTCTCAGGTTTCCAATATTCCTCCAACTGATGTCAGTCCATGATGAATACCAACTTGAGCATTTCTTGATAGTCTGGACGTTCTACATATACGAATTTTCATACGAATAGCTCTTGACATCAACCTAGACATCATATTCCACATAGACTAATGTTAAAACTTCCCTACTTCGGAGAACTCAAGTTTATAGAGCATACTTATGTGTCTGGAACAATTCTCACAGAAACTGACCGTCTCTGCAGTTCTTCATTATATTAATTGATATTTATATTTCAGTTGAATTTCTGAGGGAGTTGTGGAGATTTGGAAATATTTCAAGTTGTTATTCATCGTAGACTGACATCAGTTGGAGAAACAAAGGAAACCTGTGAGCACTGGACACCTGTTTCGTCCGACTAGTATGGGACTCCTCAGCAGTGCGCACCCAAGACTTCGCCCTCCAGGGATCGAACGCACGACCTTCGGGTTCTGTGGCCAGCACGCTACCATTGGGTTCGATCCCTGGAGGGCGAAGTCGTGGGTGCGCACTGCTGAGGAGTCCCATACTAGTCGGACGAAACAGCTGTCCACTGCTCCCAGGTTTCCTTTGTTCCTCCAACTGATGTCAGTCCACGATGAATAACAACTTGAAATATTTATATTTCAATCAAAATTATCTTCACTTTTATTAAAATATTGTTTATTTATTTTCATTTTATTTTCTAGTCTCAATATCTAATCTTTTCAAACGAATTGAATATATTAAATCAACTCTAGACTTTTTATTAAATTATTCAAAAACTACTGAAAATGTAAATAGTAGTATTACTAACAGTACTACTAATATACATGAGCATAATAAAGCAACAATTATACTAGGTAATTTATCATTGGATGATAAATTAGTTATGGAACATTTATCTGAATTATTAACTAAGACATCAGATATTATATGGATTATTATACATTCAACTGCATATTGGATTATGACATTCCAGTCAACAGTATCATCATCTTGTCCTTCTAATAATATTATTGTTTCCGATGAATGGTTAAATCCTCTGGTCAGATTTACTACTTCATTTAAGGTATGCAAATCGTTTAATTGTTTGTTTGTTTCTTTTTGATGTATATTTTTTAATGATCCAATGTTTGATTAATTATAACATTCAACTTTTAGTCAATTTTCAAGCACTACTAATCTATGCCAAGTAGAAAATTACTGAAAATCATAAAGCACTGTATATCGTAAATGTACAAGTGTTTGAAAACGTAGTCTACCTATATGGCATCCCATCGATCGAATGCTATAAGGTGGACGTCGCAAGACCTGATGACTCGGAGCTTTACCCTACATCGTTTCATAGGATCTTCAGACTTGAATAAGGCAGTTATTCACTTTCCCATAATTTTCAAGTTAATTGAAATCTATGATAAAAAGCAGCTACTATATCAATGAATTCCCAAGAAATTTTATTTCATTAATTGTTTACTATCCTAATAGAAGTTGAAATTGAAATACACTCACCAATCACGTCCACGTTCGTGCATTAGGCAATGAGCCATACCTACTGTGTGTGAGGATATCAGTTGCCTCGTGGTTGCAGATATGCCCTGCTGATGAGTGCCACTTAGGACGAAACATAGGCGTATCAAAGTGAGCCTCCTAGCCTGATGGCCACATTATAAAATGACCGATGGAATTCGGTCCATTCCAGCCATATAGAAGGTCATTCATGACTCCAATATCTCACTAGTAATGTTGCTGACTACAACACTCGGTGACGCAGGTTAGAATCTCAGAGGGAATATCACTTATGTTTAGGTTTCTGATATGCCTTGCTGACGAGTGTCAAAACGCAAAAAACCTAGATGATGCAGGGCTCCCTACCGATTAGTTCCAACCAACTAACTAGTGATATTGCCGGGCTCCCAAGACTTCAATATGTGAGAACTCTGGACCCATCAGTTGGAAAGTTAAGTGTTTAGACCGGCAAACCAACCCCTTCTCTTTTCATGGTCTTAGTTTCCAGCCTCCTCTACTTCCCTCTTCTCTATTTAGACACTATTCACTTCTAAAGTAATTTGCGACTCATTCTTGTTTCTATGCTCTGCCTGATCACAATTCACTTTTCCAATTATGTCATCATGTTAGGAAATGTCTTGTTTATATTTATTTTAATTAATATTCACTAGTCATCACAGTTTTTTTGAGTGAGTTTAAAGACTACCCTAGCAACAACTGAAATAACCAACTAGACTTGTTTATTTTATGAAAATCTGCCTTTCCAGTTTAAATGGAGAAGCCTAATCGGTGATTTCGATTGTTGTTAGGGTATATAAAGCTGTCCAAGTATTTTTGATTTCAAGGACGTGTGATTTATTGGCACTATTTGTGTTGCTTGGCATGATTGACAAACAGTTTTCAAGTATCAAATGCTTACACTAGAAAAATGTATAAATTTGCGATTGTGTACAGCTTTGAAGATGAAATTACCGAAAAGAGATTGTTCACTGAAATATACTTGTTCTTTGTATCATATCCTGATGGGAACATATTTCACATATTGAAAACTATCAAAAACAGTACCTCATAGCTAATAAATAAATTTTTATTCTCACATTAATAATTTAACATGAGAGAAGCCAGTTTACAGGCATCATCACATTGATATATGTCGAAAAATCTACAAAATTTTACGGGTCCTGAATAGTACAGAGGGGAGGTCATTTAACTCCATCAAAAACATCAGATCGCGGTTACGGGACAAAGAAGATACCACTTTCAGCATATACAGTGCTTCAAAATGAAGATAACAAGAATTCCTGTTCCCATATAATGGATTTAATTATGACAGATACCAGTTCACAAGCACCGTCAATCTAATGACTTTGAAAGTTTACATAATAATGCCGGGAATTATATAACTCACATAGCAAGTTATTGATATGCATAAACTTATTAAAACTTGCTGCAAATCAGGAGACGGGTATGGATTTCCATCTGTTATTACACAGATAGGTTCCACTATCAACGACAAAAGCGCGCAATGTTCGAAGTTTGCTTTATAACTAGACGATGTTGTTAGTCATTTTCATACTTTCTTATTTAGGAATATAAACATCTATTCACTAGAAAGTTCTTCAGTTTTTAGCTCTGCTAATCATAAAGGGCCTATTTATACGATGTGGAGTATCAGTAAGTATCCACAGTTATGTAACCAAGTTGTGTCTGAATCCATGCATTTCCAGTTCACCATGTGGTTTAAAGGTAGTATACATTAATTCCACTGGGAGTACTTCTAGTATTAGATGAAGGTAGACGTAGAGACGGTTAATGGTCCAAATGGCAACAGTTACATATGGACTTCAGGCATCGTTCATATTAGCGTAAGCAGCATCATTGGGAAGTGTATTTGATGCATGGTAACTTTTACTTAAAAAGATCACTTGATACAGAGTACTATAGAATATGTAGTGTGGAATTACTGCAGGCAAGTCATATTCCGAGCCAAAAGGTATATTGGTCTCTCGTTTGATCATTTGTTCAGAATATTTGTGCCATTATGGCTGTTGGAAGACTTTAGACGGTTAGTCACAAGAAGAATCCTTACCAGGTGATGAGTTGATTGTGAAGATGTTCCAGAAACCGCGAAAGATTGGGAGCAGTCCAATAATTCATGGAGTTAAACAGTAGGTATTATTTCCACTTAGTAGATATGTCCAGATTGAAATTCAGCATTGAATGTCGTCATCGGGCTGTTGCTGTAAAGTAAAAAGAAAGAGTCTCATCACTAACATTCTCTTATCTAGATATAAAAGAGAGATCAATTACTCATAAATTTGTCATTGTGCTCCACTGAAAATGGAACGGTCTGAAAGAGACTGTTCGTTGAAATATTTGTTTTTGGTGGTGTTGTTTTCATTGAATTGGATAGTTTATAATCATGAAGCTTTGATTGTCATTCTAGACACCACCATCAACACAGATTTCTGAAAAACTTCAGAAATGAGGTTTTTTGCGCAAGTGGTTTGGAGATGGATGAAATAAATACCTGGGTTTTCCTTTTGGAATTCCAACTAGCGACGTCTAGGTTACCTACACCTACCTGGTACTCAGTCGACTGAGATACGATACTCATTTGTTGACTGAGTTTCAACCTCATTTCAGTCACTAAGGATTTCACTCTACTGTCATATAAATACGTTATGCATCCCAATCCCAACTGAGCTGAATTAGAGAGGCAGAGTATGGTAATATGTATGAATGAAACTGTCTGTGATAACTGTGATTCGGTAGAGTGGTAAAACCTGGTTCATTTAGCATAGTCCTAGGCTGCTGGTTCGAATCCTTTGTAACCCATGTTTTCATTTCATCTTCAATCATTCTCACCCTGTATCCAATAATACTAATCCAACAAACCACTTGTATCCCAAGTAGTCTCATTGATTCGATAAGTATTCTTTAATAAAACTTTAGGATAAATAAATTCTTGTATATATTATGAGAGACTCCATTTCGGGTATATTTAATCTTCTCAACAGGAAGTCATAATTATCTTGTCGTTAATCTGCTTATCATTTCAGTACTGTTGCAAAGTGGTATCTGAATAAAATTCAAATCATTATTTGATTTGTTGTTTTATACCAACGACTTCACGAGGAGCATAGAAATACGCAGATTTCGTGTATTTCCCTACATCATCTGTTAAATGAGATGACATTGTCTAAATTATTATTGAACCACTAGTTTGTGTTATGTAATGACTCAGTATTTCAGAAATTCACCTTCCCATTCAAGCCTACTCATCTTAACGATGATATAGGCAGTGTCGTAACTAGTTCATGTTCATCGAGTTTTTCATATGATTAGAACTGACCAATCAAAACACTTGAAATTCCTTCGTTGAGACAATATGAGATTGTCCAATAAGAATAAAGACACAAAAATATCGATTATCCAATGAAATAAAAGCTAATCACATTTTTTTTCAAGATTTTATATTTTTATATTGATGATACATTTTATGCATCTATTTTCTCACAATCTCATTTTTTGCTTTCAATTGTGTTGACTAAATAAACATAAGAAACAATTTTTTTCAGAAAAGTAGGCAGACATACGAGGTCATCCAATAGGATTTCATGTGATATTGCCACAGTTATAAAACAACATGAAACATTGGAGAAAGAGGTGGAAAATATTATCAGCTGTGATTTCTTTTAAAGATACAAATGAATAAAAGTTACAGTCAAACAAAAAGAAGTAAGATGTACACAACGAGGACATGGATAAGGCCGAAAATTTTTAGTAATAACCTCTGAGTTTGATTAATCCCCTCTAATTCTGACATCTTCCTGATGCTTTTCTATTCTATCCTCTTGCTTCATGTGGGAAAAAAAACCATAACATGATGATTCATCTAATAATGATTATTCTTTTTTTGTTTATTGATACTTGTAATCCCCTGTCGCTACACTGGGTCGAATTATTTAACTTAGCTTCCATGCTGATGCCTTGATACTGCCTGGAGATCATTATATTGCAGTCTGTTTGATGGCTAGCATTGAAATCCAGGTCTCACGTTTCGTGCTATTTGGGGCTCGTCAGCTGGATGTACCTGCTCCTCAGTGAGTTGCCACTGAGACTCGAGCCCAGTACCCATTGCTTCAAGTGTCAAAGCGTTATCCACTAGGCCATTAGGTCAGGTTTATCTAGCTGATAAGTCCCAAGTACGGCGCAATGCGATTCCTCGATTCCACCTCTAGCATGTGCTTATAGTGCATTTCTCACTTCTTTGATGTTACTAATAGTTTCTTAGCTGTTCAAAAGAAAAACTAATTGATTTTTTGTTGGGGATATTTTTTACTGTAAACAACCATTAAAGTTTTTGATAGTGTGAAATTTTGTTTATAAATTATAAAAATTAGACGACAGTAGGTGGTCATGTTTTAGCCCAAGGTATGACATTACTGCAAAACATGCTTATTGATTGTTGATTGGTAGAAATAATTTCTGATCGCTAATTGACTACTTTTAGTTAACAGGGTTTATTTATCTCGTTAAGCAGATGTTTATTTAAAGTTA